GAAAGACCAAGCCAAGCACTATAAAACTTTTTACAAACCATTGCTACAGAAATTGAACCTTTGCAAAAAAAAAAAAAAAAGCTGTCTCCCTTGCAGAATTTTTATTAGATGTATTTTAACAGTACAGAGGAAAGAACAAGCATTAAATATATATTTGCATGTGTATGTGTACAATCTTTGCATATATTCTTTGTAAGCATTCTGTATCACATTCTTCAAATTTCTCTCTCTCACACACATGCATACATACACAGCTAGTTAAGTACCTTAAAAATCAAACCTATCACATTAATATGCGACTTCTAAAATCAAATTAATGAGTTTCACCAATTATATGTTTCTTTGCTCTACAGTTTAGTCCTCACTTAACTTATCTGTTTCTTAGCAACTGTTCAAAGTTACTGAGGGGCAGCCCCCACCCCAAAGCTACTTAAAACCCAATTCGAAAATTCTAACAGTACTCTTCCCCCCTACATTTTGGCACTTGGCAACCAGCTCATCTTTTCAGCTGGATGCACCTAGAAGGAATAATCTTTTAGCTTCTTTCTCTGAAGACAGGCTTGTCTTCAGGGGTGGGATTCAATATTTTGAACAACCGGTTCTGTGGGCATGGCTTAGTTGGTGGTCATGGCTTGGTGGTAATGTGAATGGCTGGGCGTGGCCAATTCAACATTACTTGCAATGAGGCACGCATCTCCTCACCTGGCCTCTCGTGACTGTGGGAATGCTGCAAGAGTCGTAAGTGTGAAAAATGGTCATAAGTCACTTTTTTCAGTGCCATTGTAACTTTGAATGGTCACTCCACACAAGCAAAGTACCAGCAAAGGAGTGGAAAAAAACTCCAGAGAAGTTCCTGAGACAGGAAGTCTAGTCCTGCCAAGAATCTAAAAAGGGTTAACGGAGAGGCAGTTTCTGTAAGCAACACCAGAATGTTTCCTTCCTGCCTTCCTTACAGGATTAGGCCAGTAATTTCTTCTAACAACTGGTTCTCCAAACTGCTTAGAATGTTAACAACCCGTTCTAGCGAATAGGTGTGAACTGGTAGAATCCCACCCCTGCTTGTCTTTCTAGTCATATATAAATAAAACTGACTCTCATTGTGAAATGAACCTTTGATTTCCAACCATTTAAGGCTAGAAGGTTCAAAGTTACTGCAACCTTGGGAAAAGTGACTTATGACCCTTCCTCAAAGTTACAACCATCGCACTACTCCCTACAATTACATTATTGCAAATCTGGATCTTTGGAAATCGGCTCACATTTTACAACATCTTGAGATTACATGATTGTGATTTGCAACCTTTCTAGCCAGCTTCCGACAAAGTCAGTTGGGGAAACTGGATTTCCTTAATGATCATGTGATTCAGTTAAAGACAACCTGATCTGCTTAATAACTGTAATGATTTGCTTAACAACCATAATAAAACGGTCATGAAATCAGGTCTGCTGATATGACTTAATGACCACATTGTTTAGCAATGGAAATTCCAGTCCCAATTGTGGCTGTAAGTTGAGGATTTATGAATTCTTCTAGATTATGCATTGAAAAGTGGTGGCAGCAGAGACTGCAAAGGCCTTCTCGATTTAAATTTGTTCAACAACTGCAACCTATTTAAAAATAAGGCATTGTGTTTGTATTGATTACAACTAGACTAAAGGCTAACATTAGTAGCTGCCCAGCATTACCCTGTGGTAAGATAGGCAGCCAACACGTTTAATAAATAAATAAACATCTTCATGTCACTCTTAGCTTCTGGTGATCTTCTTGCCAGCAATATAGAAGTGTCTTCCATATTGTCTTCTTCCAGGATGTTTTACTTCCCATTCTACAGCCCTGAACCTCCCCTCAGGTATCCCATCTAAGTTCTAATTATGTCTGGTTCTGTTTAGCATCTCAGCCCAAACTAAACTACTGAACCATGTCCAGACTAAACTGTTGTAAATACATTTCACTGGCAATGCTTTTGAAGATAATTTTAAAAACCACAGCTGCTACAAAAATAGCATTTTATTTATTTAAAATATTTTTGCCCCCTCTTTATTTGGAAGGAATCCCAGAATGACTTTGCAAAGACCAATCATATGCTCCTAGGGCTTATAATCTAAAATACATGTATATGACACAATTTAATCGAATGAATGAGGAAAGGCAACGGAAGAAACAGCAAGCTCAGGAGGCTGCTCTTGCAGTTTTTATACCAAAAATAGTTCAGACAATATGACAGCATGACAGATGTTAGATCCCAGGAGAGGAAGAAACAAAGGTAAATTGTTATCCGGTGTGAAACTATGGAACAGCCCAAATTCATTTCTGTCTTTTTGCTCTGCATTTTATCAAGAATGTACATATTATACAAACACTCTAAAGTTCTTTGGGGTTTTTTTAAACTATGAAATTATACTTTTGGGTTATATTGTTTATACAGACAGTTGTCATCTCTTTTAAGATGTTGTCCTAAAATGGTGGGCCAGAAATACTTGAAATAATCAACACATCCAGAATATAGTTATTGTGTTGCAGTATCCTGCAAAATTAATGTAGATTTACAGGGTGAAAAGCTGCTACTAGAAACAGATTATTTGAGGAGGGTAGAATACTTGAAGGAAGTTCAGCAGCCCAGTACACACATACTATCCAAGTATACCCACTTCTTTTTTTTTCTTTTTTTTTACTACTGGGGAAAACTGAACATGCAAAGCTCTATCACATCTTTAGTTTGGCACTGACTGACTGATACTTCGGTTACCAAAGTCTGCCAGCTTTTCATATCATATCAGACTAATTTTCTGAATGTGTAGTCAGTTGGCATTACTCAATTATTATTTAAAGCTCAAAGTATATTGCCACAAAGCAAAAAGTTTTCAAAGAAAATTTACTCACTAAGCTGCAGAGTCATTCAGCTGATACTCCCGGGCACGATTAAAGCAGGCCTGGACTCCATTGTCTGACCACAGCCTCCGAATCACATTGGATAAGTCCTCTGGCATGATTCCCTGCTCCTCTGCAGTGCAAGAGAGTGCAAACAACTGGCGAGCATCATCCTGCGGGGAAAGTAAATTTGAGACATTTAGGATCATGTATTAGCTATGGGCAGAGGAGGAAGCAACCGTCACATTACAATGAAGGTCACATTTTGCCCTTATCCTCTCTAAACTCACAAAAAATTCTTCCCAAAGTGAAGCATATTTTGCAAAGGAAATAAAATGCCATTTATAAATGCATATCACGAAGAAGTCTATGCCTGATAACTTTTATGGGTAAACAGTTGACAGCTGAATCCTGAAATTGAGCAAGGTCGATCCTGAATAGTATTTGGGAGCGTGCTACAGAAAGAATTCCAGTGATATGAAACCTGGCAAGGAGTTCAATCTGATAACAGTGTGAAAATGTTTATATACAGGTAGTCCTCGACTTACAACAGTTCATTTAGTGACTGTTCAAAGTTACAATGGCACTGAATAAAGTCTCTTAAGGCTATTTTTCAAAGTGACAACCTAGCGTCCCCAAGGTCATGTGATCAAAATTCAGCTGCTTGGCAACTCGTTCATATTTATGACAGTTGCTGTGTCCTGGGGTCATGTAATCACTTTTTGCGACCTTCTGACAAGCAAAGTAAATGCGGAAGCCAGATTCACTTAATGACTGGGTTACTAACTTGACAACTTCAGTGATTCACTTAACTGTGGTAAGAAAGGTCATAAAATGGGTCAAAACTCACTTAACTAATGTCTCAATTTTGAGCTCAATTGTGGTCATAAGTCAAGACTTCCAGTAGTAAGAGACTAAAGCCCTGTGTAGATATTACTGTACAGTATTGTCTATGCAGGTTCTCAGTCGTCCAGGTCATGACTATCCTTGAGGTACTTTCCAAAAAGGCCACTGGACTTCCTTGATTTTTCTTGAAGATGTTTCACTTTTCATCCAAGAACTTTCTTCAGTTCTAGCTAACTGATGGGAAATGGAAAGGACTTATTGATATATTAAATCTTTTTCATTCCCCATCAGTTAGTTGGAACTGGAAAAACTTCTTGGATGAGAAGTGAAACATTTTCAAGAAAAATCAAGAAAGCCCAGTGGCCTTTTTGGAAAGCACCTTCAGGATTATACAGAATTGCTCTGAAAGAGGCTGATTTGATATTGACATAATACCAAATGGAAAGTCTACTTGGCAGTTGCTACCAAGGCTTTGGAACTCCCTAAGAAGAGGAGGGGGAGACAGTGTAGATGTATCTAATGACCCTTATTTCAACTATGAAAAAGCATTCTGGTTCAGATAAATGTTACGACTTTTAAATTATGATCTAGAAGGTGTTCTTTTTCAGTATCATGGAATTTTTAATTAATGAGATTTGAGTTTCAATTACTGTATAATATTTTTTTACTTTTTAATACTCTGGATGTTATTTTCATTGAAATAAGAAGCAAACCTAATAAAGGATCTGATCACGCTGAAGAACATGCTAAGGAAGGAGTTAATTTTCATACTAGGGCAGGAGTGACTTCCCAATTTGGAATAACCAAATTCATTGGCTATGTAAACTGGAGGAAATGGGAATTATAGTATGCCACTTTGGGAGGATGTTCGTATGGAGAAGAAAACTTTAAATTCAGACAATGCAGAGCAGATAATCTTGATATAGTAGGGGAAAAAATGGGTGTACATGGTCTTATGTCGTTGGCACTGGTAAGCTAATTTACACTTGTTCTTACAGATAACAGAGCATCCATTGATTGGGATGATGCTTCTGTTGCTCGTCTGATAGGCTGGGCTTTGAGAGGACGCTCCTCCTCCTCCACGGGACTCCTCCCTAGCATCCCCTGTTTGGGCAAAGTCAAAGTGATGAAATATTTCTTCTCCTTCACCCTTTCTAATACTTGGCCAGAATAGCATCCCACCAGACGAATAAGGGTGAGGATGAATGCTCTTCCCAGCTCACAGAGAAAGGGAGTGTCAGGTAAGTACCAACGCCCCTTCTCCAGATGAGCTGTTCAGGGCATCTATTGATTGGGACATATCAAAGCTTGGCGTGTCCTACGGGAGGGCTTCAGTTTGGTTTGGATTCCCCTTTTTCTTGGTCCCAATGGATCCTTTGTAACACTCTCCTGTCAAAGGCAGCCTTTGGCGAAGGCATCATTCTAATAGTTTCTAAATAAAAGGCGATGGTGAGGCCCATGTTGTCGCCTTGTAAATTTTCTCTATTGAGGCTTGTGGCCCATGTTGTCAACGTTGCAGCGCTCCAGGTCGAATGAGCAGTGATGCCCCTGGGTACAGGAAGAGACTGTGTCTCGTAGGACTTGGGAATTGTGCTCTCAGCCACTTACTGGTCATTGAGGAAGAGGTCTTGCACCCAATGGTGGGTGGTTGAAAAGAAACAAAGAGAACCTTCGTTTCCTAACACAAATTGTGCAGTTGAAATATATGCAGAAAGCTCGCCTTACATCTAGATTGTGGCATTGTGGTCAGATTTTATGTCGGTTTCAGACAAGCATACAGGAGTATCAGTTCCTATGGTCTGTGGAAACCCAAATTTATCTATAGGTGAAAGATGGATCTAGACTAAGGACCACTCTGTCTGTGTGAAAAATACAGAGCTCCTGTCTAACTGACAAGGCTACTAGATCCAAGATGTAACTGGCCGATGTAATGGCAACCAAAAGAACCACCTTGTACGTTAGGAATGGAGACTCGTGGTCTACATGGGCTCAAAGGGAGTTTTCTTGAGTGCGGTAAGGACCTTGTTGAGGTCCCACATGTGATATCAATGCACTATAGGAGGCCATAAGTTTGTAGCCCCACGCAAGAAACTGCATACGCGTGGGTGATGAAAAATGGTCTGCAAGTCACTTTGGGTGATGACCGATGCTAAGGACTCTCCTTTGCCTGTTTATATGAACAAGATAATAATGAAATGTCATTTAAATAACACTGCCATCTAACAGGTGTTCCCCTGAGATGGACAGCCAGAGCCATCAGAACCTTCGTAAGAATCTTGGGCAGATGACAACCCAAAGGACAGTGCAACGTATTCAAAACGTTGAGTATTATAACAAACACTAAGAGGTTTGCTATGTGAGGATCTAATTGGAATGTGTGGATAGGCCTCCATTAAGTCAATGGAGGGTAGAAAGTCACCCCTTCTGAAGCTCAAAAGTATGGCGTTCAGTATACTCATCTTAAGCCTCCTATAAACTAGGGACCGATTAAGTCATTTAAAAACTAAAATTGCCCCAGCTGAGCCGGTGCCAGAGGTCAGTTGCCTGGATCTCCAATAAATGAACAATAGCTGTCTCCATCATGCTCCCTTTAACAGGATCCCCTGGAGAGAGGGCAAGTAATGCAAAGGTTCCAGGGAGAGGATGGAAATTCTATAGCCAGGCCTAATCATCTGATATCTCTAACCCAGGAAACAGAGGTAGAGGCATCCCATCTGTCCGTGAAAGGCTTGAGCCTTCCACCAATAGGGGCACAGTTGTGAGGTCTATGTTGTGCCTCAGAGACCTCTATTTCATGTTCCTCAAGAGATTCTTTTGCTCTGCCCTCCCCTTCAGTATCTATCTCCAGATTGGAAACTATCCGACTCTTGGTGATTCATGCGTCCAGACAGTCCCTGGCTGGAAAGAAAAGTCCCTGGTAGAGGGAACGAAGGAACCCTCCAAAAAGCTGGGAAGGACTATTTTGGGGTCTATGAAAAGAGAGGAATTTATTTTCTGCTTCTAGTCTCTATCAGAGATGGGTCAGGGGCACCACCAACCAAATTATCTCCCTATATTGGGAAGGAAGCAAGCTTCCATTAGTTGTGTGATATCTGCTTGCCAATGTCTGAGCCCTAGCAATAGGCGAGGAGTAACCTGAGATGTCCTGGCTCGAGCAGATAATTTAATAGAGTTTTGCGGCATCCTTGTGCACCCTGATGTTGGAATTTGAGATAATCTCCCTCAGATGGTAGAGCTACCTGAGAGATGATCTAGTAAAAAAAGGGATGAGGCATATGCCGCTCTTATGGCCCCCACATCAGATTGACATGCCCTACATGGAGACAACTTGACCCTATATATTCTTTAACTTGAGAGCCTCTTCTGCTTCAGTTGGAATTGCAGAGGAGGAGGATAATTGCCATTATTGTTTTATCTACTATCGTGATGAGAAATTTAGCAGAATCAGAAAATCAAATTAAATTTTTTTCTATCATATCCTATAAGAGACCCCTTGTTTCTGGACGAGGTCCAAGAACCTCTGTGGGACAGTTATGACTTCCTCTTACATTATTGGTTGGGAGAAGATTAAATCGTCTGACCCCCCTTACAGTAACGATTGCTGGGCCGAGGGGAATGGAATATCAAGACGGGCAGTAGTTTTTTTTCTTGAAACAACAGAGACTTGAAAAAATTCTGAGGGCGAAACAGACCTGAAGGTCGGTGGTCTGGCTTAATGCCTTCAATGTCTGACATGTCCCCCTTTTTTAGGGGATCCACCTCTGACAGATTTTGGTCACTGTCGTGAATAGACCCTTCCTCAACCTGTTCCATCTGGTCTCTAGTTCTCCCTCATCCTGTGCATCATGTGAATGTGTAACTGGATTATATAATACTCCTCTGAAGGAGGTACCTGCTGGTAATGAAGGTCCGTTCTGCATAGTAACTAAATCAAGTGAGAATCGAGGTCAGATTGTGGAGGCTGCCTAGCCATCAACTTCTACTGTACCCCGGCTGCGATGCCCCTTCAAGTCACCATGTCCCTCCAGGCCTTCAATTTGTCAGGAATATCCTCTGGGAGGAGGTATTCTGGCGTGGTCCCACAACTGTCTGTCAGGCAAGTAGCATTGCTGAAGGCCTGGGCTGAACCGGTCCCTCTGAGGCTCTCCTGGATGGCATTGAGAGATTCAGGGATGGAGGCAAGGTGAAGTATGGAATGCTTCACAAATTTGCATGTCATCCTTGCGCAGGGGCCATGCTAATCTTCTCTGTATCATTCCAATTTTAGTATATGTGCTGCCGAAGCAAGCACTCTGGAACTGGGACCGGCCTGTTTGGGGAAGAGGAC